TAATATAGTAAACACAATCAAATGAATAAATAATATAATATATGGTTATAATATATAACATATAATATAAAGTAAAATAAAAAAATAATTATATAATCTCTTTTTATGTAATATCTAAAATATACAAATTATATATCATACGTTATATTATATTATTTTTCTATATATATAAATATATTTTTTTTCACTTTCTCTCTCTCTTTCTCACTTTTTTTATCTATCTATTTATCTATTTTATTTCCCCCTTTTATTTTTCTTTCTCTCTCTTTTTTTTTTCTATATATATATATTTGTTTCTCTCTATCTCTCCTGGGAACGTAAGATCCTCCGGCTACTATCCAAAACCTTTCTCCTCTCTCTCTCTCTATTTCTCTCTTTCTCTTTCTCTCCCATTCCGATATGTATTATACGAAATATTCATAAATTTCGTCGTTCCCTCGCGACGAGTATAGTTCGCGAGTTTTCGAGAGAGGAAAAGAATCCGATGCGAAGGTCGTCCTTTACATTAAGAAAGAGAGAGAGAGAGAGAGAGAGAAGTAGAAAAATCCTACCCTATCCCCACCTTTTTCTTTTGAGAGAGAGAAAACGATACTCCTTCCGACAACGTTCTTTCGGCGAATATTTACGACATCGGGGGGATCTCTCTAATACGATTTTAGATATCGCCGGAATCCGGCAATAACGAATGCGACTTCTTCTTCTTCTTCTTCTTCTTTTTCTTCTTCTTTTTCTTCTTTTACTTGTACCCTTACTCCCACTTTTATCCATTCCCCACTACTACTTTTACTACTTCTTCTACTTCTTCTACTTCGATCGGCTAAATATGTACGCGACCGAACGAAAGAATTTCCACGACCATTAATCAATATATTTGATTTGATTTTTTTTGTTTATTTAATTTTATTTTATTTAAATTTCATGTCATTTCTATTTTTTTCTTTTTTATTTTACTTCATTTTCTTATTATTTTCTTTTCTTTTATTTTATTTCAATTTCATGTCATTTCTGTTTTTTTCTTTTTTTTTTTTTATTTTACTTCATTTTCTTATTATTTTCGTTTCTTTTATTTTATTTTAATTTCATGTCATTTCTGTTTTCTTATTTTTAATTTTTACCTATACTTTATCATCTTTTTTGTTTTATTTGATTTGATTTAATTTAATTTAATTTCAATTAATTTAATATAAATTTCATGTAATTTGAAATTTTGTTTATTTATATCTTCTTTATCATTCTTTTCGTTTACTTTTCTTTCGTTTATAACATCGTAGAAATTTATTTGAAAATTATTCTCAATCGCGTATTATATATATGATACACACGTTACGAACAAATCTCTGCATGTGAATAATAATACAAGTGTATTATTATTCTCCCATTCGCTTGCATAATTAATAGATTTCGATTTTCGATAACACTATATCTTAAGTTATCTACCCATCTATCTATCTATCTATCTATCTATCCTGTTTTTTTCCTTTGTTCTTTTCTCTTTCTTTTCGAATTGTAGATCCATTAGTAGCGTAGTAGGAAGATAATTTTTCATCTTCAATCGATTATCGTCTACTCGCTATAATCGAGCTTTGCGTTCTTTTTAATGACAATCTTCTATCTATCTCTTTCTTTTTCTTTTCTTTCTAAGACCTGTATAAGTGCTCCCTCGTCCATTACTATTAAAAAGAAAAAAAGAAAAGAATAAAAAAAGGAAAGGAAACGAAGAGAGAAAGAAACAGAAACAGAAAGAGAGAGAATGAGTGAGAAATGAGGAAAGAAGGAAAAGAAGATTACTCTTCGATAGGTGTTATCCTTGATACTTAAACGATCGTCGCACGAAATTTCGAGTTGGGGGAAGAGAAACGATCGAAGTTTGTACGTATATGATATTAATGTTAGTGGTAGTATTGGTGATGGTAGTGGTAGTAACACTGTGCTGTTTAACACGCGCGATATTCATTATCGCGTAACAACGTGTTAACGCGATAGCACTATGTTGCACCATAGGGTTGGTAAAATCTGCTCGAGAAATCGAGCTCGAGTTAACTAACAGGAGATAAAGACGAATGAGGGAGGGTGAAGAGGAAGGGGACGGGGGGTAAGAGAGGGCAAAGGGTGGTAGAAGGTTCTCTGTTCGTAAGGGATAGTTCGTCAGGGTTAGTTCAGGGCTAGTTTTCACTTCTCGTGACGTGAAATCGCGTGGTCGAGGTAGTTTCGGATTGCACGCAGAGCAAGATGGACGATACCTTGTTTATTTCTGTGTGTGTGTGTGTGTGTGTGTGTGTGTGTATGTGTGTAGTCTGAAATTTATACAACGAAAGAGAAAGAGAGAGAGAGGGGGGAGGTGGTCAAAGAGGGGAAGAAGAGACACGGAATTACGTATACATGTTGTAAATGATGTTTAAGTCAATCAATTGCTAATATTGATTTTATTTCGTTTATATTCAATTCAATTTGTTTGTTTATGATATTATGAAATAGATTGTAAAATTGATGTTTGTTAAATTAGTCGATTTTTTTTTTCTTTCTTTTCAATTAATTTAATGCAAATAATTATTGATTAATGATAGAATATATGAATATATTTGCGCTATGGTAATTTTGTAAGTAGACCGAATAAACGCGGATTGATAACATTTATTTTGTATCGTTTATTTTTAATTCAAGTTTGCGTGTGTTTGTATTATGTAATAGATCGTGAAATTAATTATTAGTTGGTTTGTTGACTTATTGTTTGTCCGTTTAAAAAATTATACAGTATTGTTTAACAAAAAATGAGAGTATTGTTTTGATTCCGTGTTTAAATTTAACGATTTATAGATGTTATGTACAGTTTTATTATTTAAAAAAATATAAGAATTTATGTCTTTTGTAATAATATATGAGGTACTCAGAACTTTAACGATCGAATTGATGAAAAAGTTCCGATGAAGGGACGAAACGTTTCAATAAGATCGAAATATAACGTTTTAAATTCTTACCTTGCTCAACTACCCCCTGTCACACATTTATTAATAATTGTTGCAATGTTTTTTTTCTTTTTCAACATTTTAAATAACGATTAATTATTCTTTTTGGATTTATTTTCATTTAGATGTGTTAGTAATATTATAGATAGATATGAAATATATATTAATTGCTCGTAGTAGTTAAAAGGTAGTAGAGGTTGAAAGCTTTTAAAAAAATTTCTCTTTAATAAAATAAGGAAACTTTTTGTGATAAAACTTAATTATTCACTCGTTCGCTCGTGTGGTAATTCCGATAAATTTACTTAAATTAATAGATTTCATTTTTTTGCTTCTCTTTTTTTTTTTTTTATTATATCTTATTTCCGTTTCTGTTATAATAAATTAATGGCGAGATATTGTTAAAAAGTTTTTAAACGATTATTGAAAAACGATTACCTTTTTCGTTTAGGCTAATTTTATTTTCTCAAATATGTAAAAAGAAAGTTGTTTCTTTTTTTATCTTCCAATCTTTGAGCAACT